AAAGACCTGTATCCACCTGCTTTGTCAGGAAACATGATCTGCTATTGCTGTACTTTCACCATGGACATGTGTTGAGGTCGAAATAGCTGCAGAACGGTCACTGCAATGATGCAGTTTCACACAATGGCTGACACTGAATCTCCGGACTTCGCAGCAGCCGTGACTCAGCCAGCGACGCCTGTACTCACTCCTAAACCCAGCACTTCAGATATTTGCCCTCCTTAGGCTCTTAATACTGATCAGAATGCTGCTGAAAACTGGAATCTCTTCAAACAAAAGTGGCAACAATGCACTACTTTGACTGATCTCACTAAGCAGCCAGATCACTATCGGGTTGCACTGTTGTTGCACTCTCTTGGTGATGATGTACAGTGACTTTAAGTTTGACACACCCGATGACCTGCACTCAGTCAAGCAGATCATTGAACACTTTGACACTTATGCCATAAGAGAGGTAAATGAAACCTACAAACGGTTAAGTTCCGCTGCCGAAACCAGCAAGAAGGTGAAGCTTTTGAAATGTATCTTGCTGCTCCTCGGAGTCTCTTGAAAACTTGCAACTTCTGCCCCACATGTAAGGACAGTATCCTTCAAGACAGGACTGTGCTAGGCATTAAGGAGTCTACTGTCTAGACAGCACTTCTAGGCGAGTGGCCCCTCACCCTGAGTAAGTGCATTGACCTTCGCAGAGCCCCTGAAAATGCTACTTAACACAAGCAAGCAATGAATGCAGACCCTATTCATAAATTGTCTCCTACTCGTTCAAAGGCTAAAGCTCAGGGGCCTAAAACACCCTCTGTTGAAAAAGTAGCCCTCCCAGTAAGGCATGTCATTACTGCCCCTACTCTCATCCATTCCGCAAAGAACAGTGCCCAGCATGCGGCAAAACGTGTAAAAAGTCTCGGCAGAAAAATCACTTCACTGTCAAGTGCCCCATCTTAGGCTGTAAGGTCAACTTTGTCAAAGACTTTGGAGATGACGACACTGACTCTGAAGTTTGGTTAACGTTGTACATAACCCAGCCAGCCACGACATCAAGTGCATCATGCTTGTCGATAAGAAGGTGACCTTCTCAAGTCGACAATGGCTCCTCAGCCAACCTTCTTCCTGCTCGTTTTGCGACTAAGATTACCTCACCTTCAACCACTGGAACCACTCTAAGCTTCAGTCCTTGGGCACTTGTGACCTGCCTCTCACCAACCCTCTGATGCAAAAGACTGTTATGACTCATTTCACCATGTGCTTTGACTCGTTCTCTGCATTAATGGGCCTGAAGACTTGGCAAGAACTACACCACATTACTGTCAACAACTTCAAACCCATTGCTGCAATCACTCTTGACAACGTAGTGAGCAGGCACCCCACTGTGTTTGACGGATCCTTGGACACCCTCCCGGGAATACAACACCTGAGAACCAACCCATCTGTCCAACCAACAGTCACACCCTGCCAAGCGTGGTATCCCTGTCGCTATCAAGTCCAAAGTCAAGGCAGAACTGAATCGACTTAGTCAAAATGGTGTGATCATTTCAGTTGAGGCACCAACTCCCTTGATGAGCCAGATGGTTGTCCCTGGAAAGAAATCTGGCAAACTTTGCATGTGCATTGACCCGAGGGGACTCAACCAAGCCTTGCTCCATGAGCAATACTCCATGCCCGCTCTAGTTGACTGCCTACATGAATTGGGAAGTCTACAGCGTTCTCAAATACTGACCTCTCGTCTGGTTACTGTCACATTCAGCTTGTTGAGGAGTCCAGTTTCTCCACAACTTTCCAGACCCTCTTTGGCCGCTATTGTTGGCTTTGCCTACCCTTCGGTACATCTGTTTCCTCTAAGATTTTCGAACTTAAACTACCGGAAATGCTGCAAGGCCTCTTTGGCATTTTATGCATAGCCGATGACGTGCTGATCCATGGATGTACCGTGCAAGAACATGACGACAATCTCGACAAGTTCCTGCAAAGGTGCGCTGACAAGGGCATCAAGCTAAACTGCAACAAACTCCACCTCAATTAGGGAGCAATCTCATTCATGGGCCATATCATTTTCAAGGATGGTCTGTGGACCAACCCTGAAAAAGTCTGTTCCATCAACAAGTTTCCTTCTCCAATGAACCTGGAATAACTTTGCTGTTTCCTTGGTATGGTCAGTCACCTCTCATGGTACATATCCAATCTGACTGACATGACCCATCCTCTGTTCAACCTTCTGAAGTGTGACATACCCTGGCAGTGTTCTTCCTCTCAGGACAATGCATTCGCAACGGTCAAACAAGTCATTACATCTACGCCGACTCTCCACTACTACAACCTAGCCAAAGAACTGACTCTTGAGAATGATGCCAGTGACTATGGCATTGGTTCTGCCCTTTTACAAAAAGGTAAGCCCATTGCCTTTGCCAGTCACTCCCTTACTTCCAGCAAGTGGAACTATGTTCGGATCAAAAACCAAATGCTCGATGTTGTTTTCTGTCCAGACTGTTGTCACGAATCACAAACCTCTTTTTGCAATCGGCAAGAAGCCCCTGTCTAAGTCCCCCAAGCGCCTACAGTCCCTACTGCTTCACACACAGGTATGCAAATTTGAGCTTGTTTTCCATCCTGGCAAGGAAGTTCACCTGTTTGATGCACTGTCACACGCACCACTCAATGACATGGTCGCAGAGGAAAAAGTCATCGTGAATAACCTCAAGCACACTCCTTTCTCCGCTCATCAATAATTCCAGCTACACACAGCCACTAAGGCCAATGAAACGAGGAGTTGCTTCATGGACACAATCAAGACCGATTGGCCCGACACAAAGCAGAGCCTTCTGGCAGTTCTCCTTCCGTACTTCAGCTATCGTGATGAACTGACTGTCCAAGATGACATCGTCCTCCGTAGCGACAAGAGTTGGCATTCCTCTCTCCATGTGCAAGACATAAAGCAAAAGGTACACGCTGGTCACCTAGGTATCAACACCTGTCTGCTTTGAGCACAAGACCTCATCTTTTGGCCTGCGATGTCCCGAGACATTCCACAGTATGTTGAATCGTGCGAGACACATGCGATGCACATGTCCCAAAGCCACAAGCTTGTTCTTCTGCACAAGATACCGGTCAGACCATGGCAGAAGATTGGTACCGACATCTGGCAAGTGCAAGGGCGACTTTACCTTGTCACCAGTGACTGTCATAGTAACGTCATTGAAGTCGACTTCCTGCCTGACTTGTCTACCCGGACTGTCGTAACAAAGCTGAAACACCACTTTGCCCATTATGGTATCCCCAACACTGTAATCAGTGACAGTGGATTACCGTACACATCTGACACCTTTAAGAAATTTGCCATAAACTGGGGTTTCCAACACATCATGTCAAGACCAGGAAATCACCAAGCGAACGGTGAAGCTGAAGCTGCTGTAAAGATCATCAAGCAGCTCTTCCTGAAATGCAGAGCTATGCATAAAGACCCACACCTTGGCATGCTGAACCTGTGTAATGCTCCCACTGAAGGCATGTCAACCAGTCCTGCCCAACGCATGTTTGGACGTCAAACCAATTCTCACCTGCCCTGCCTCCCCACCAAATTGTAGTTTGTTCCCCAAGATGGTCATGGTCACACAAAAAAGCACAGAATTGAATATTCTCATTGCTATACCCACACTGTGGGAATTTACCATATTTTTTGGATTGCTCACAATGTATTTGATCCCTGGGATGGGGGCCTTTGCTCCAAGTCATTCTGATGACCACACCAGCCATTCAGCTGCAAGGGTTCCCCCTCCCCTACATGCATCTGTTCACTGTCTTGTTTGCCCTCAATAGACTGACATCGGAGGCAGAGTCATTCTTCTCATGACTGGTCACTGTCCCAGCTGAGGCATAGGACTTGATATACAGTATCTGTGTTCCAGATCACCTTCAGAGGCCTAAACCCAATCATTGATCGGAGATAGCCGTTCCATTATTTAGCGGGCCAACAGACTTCTAAAGAGGTGGGTAAGCTGCTTCAAATCCCCTTTCATCTCCAGTTCAGCTTTTTCAAGACTTCTAATGCAGGGACATCTAAACCTAAACAGCCTACTTTCCCTGTAGATAGATAGTGTGTGCATCAGATATTATAAATAAAGCTTTAAGCAGGGACAGGATTAACAAAAACCCACCAATAAAGCAAAATCTGACAGATGTAAGAATTTGTTCCTTGAGAGGCAATTGTTAATGCTAAGACCAATACATTAGAAACCAGACTTTCAGCTTAAGACTACTATTAATGTTGCAGGGCCAAATATTATCCTTTTCCATTGTTCTTGCTCAATATCATGAAAATCCTTCCTTGTCACATGCAAGTGGTGTGCCGAAGGTGTTTCATTTTCTTGATGATTGCCTAGATTTTTGCCTGTGAGAGTTTGCACTGGGTTTTTGCCGCAACTTTCTGTTGTTGTTGACATTTTGTTCCTCCCATTAGTTGGCTCCGTTGACCACCTATTAGATCTGCCTCTTGAGAGGGGTAATCTGTCAGACAATAACTTCATCAAGGCCATGATTCAGGACACCATTGTTTCACAATGGAAAACGAGTTGGATCTTTGTTGGCATTTGGCCAGGTGCCCTTCCACCACTTCCCAATTGGCATGGAAGTAACAAAATATATTCTTCCAACTAAGGCTCGTTTCATTGATCCAAGAGGGTTGCAGGCCTATCATTGTCGTCAGCCTACAACAAGGGAGAGCCCCCAGATACGCCCGTTCCCCTCATTCTCGGGGTCACAAGCCAAAATGGGCTTCTGTCAGCTACAAGTGTGCACATCCACTCAGGTTTCAGTCACCAGTGATTCTGCACAACTTCAGATAGCCAAGTTCATTGGACAATTTCATCAGGGTGTCACCTGGAATTTACCAGTGAACCTCCCATTCTCCTTTGACCACTAACTCCTGTCCCTATATGGATCCCCTTCAGACAAAAGAATGCCACTGCTGTTCTTCTTTAAAGGACAACCTCCGGTTTCACTGCAACATTCTTTCTTGCACAAAGATGTTCGGAGAATGACTGCCCGTTATCAACCTCCAACTGCTCAGCTGCTGCTTCCAGATAGAGATCCTTTCATCCATTGTTTAGTCTCAGATGACTGGTTGGTGAGTAATTTCTTATAACCTGAAGGACACGTACATTCCTATTTCTATCCATGTGGATTAGTAGCAGTTCCTTTCAGTTTGTGTACCAGGGAACTTTGTATCAGATTCTGTCTCCCTTTCAGACTTTCTACTGCCCTCAGGTCTTCCACAAGAACCAAAAGGGTGACAACATTCTTGCATCAAATACATGTCTAACTTTTTATGTACCTGGACGACTGGCTTAAAGTGGGCACTACTTTCCAGGATACAGTCAAGGCCCTCTGACAGTGGTTAACCGTGAACAACCTATAATATGGAGTGTGAAGTAAAATTTCCCCACCCCTCCCAATTGATTACTCTCACAACAGATGCCTCAGTACATGGCTGGAGAAGTCACTGTTGACAATACTAGGTCAACAAATCAGAGTTCGTTTCAGTCACTTAGAACGTCTGCAGTCATTTGAATCAAGGGTCCCATCTCCCTACTACACCAAGGTCTAACAAAATGGCCAAATTTTCCTGAGAAATTTTCATAGCCCCAGTTTGGTCACAGCAGCCTTGGTTTCTTTGTCCTGAGGGGCTGCTTGTTTGTCACTAGTCATGCTCCCCAACCACCACTGGTGTCCCTTGTGTCGGGGGTGTCACTCACCCCACCCCAGTTGGTTAGTTTTGTCAAGAAAATCATGGTCTGTCAGCAAAATGAACAAACAAGAATGGAGAATGAAGCAGAAATGATGGGGGATAAAGTACACTCGTTTTGTGTGATGGCCTGTTGGCAACCCCCCCCCTTCAAAATGGTCTAGCTACGCCCGTACCAACCACCCAGACCTTATGACTCGGACCAGGTCTAAATATGTACATCCAGACTTGGCTTCTTTTCATCCTTACGCCTGGATGATATAAAAATCTTCCTCTGAGCAGCAGAGGGTTTGGAAAAGCTACAGCCTTGGCATCAAAGGATAGACAGGAGTCCACAAGACAAATTTACAATAGCAGACTCCTTCACTTCACTAAGTGATGCAAGGAAAGAATCAGTGATCCCCATTCTGTTTCTGTAGCTGGAGCTAGGGATTTTGTCTACATATTAAACTCCCCAGCTCTCCACTATCAAGGATTAAAAATAAACCATTGTTGTCCTAAACAGTTTCCATGATGGCTCAACAACCTCTTCAAATACGCCCATTTCGTAATCACACTTGCTATGAGGTATGTTTATAAAACAGTCCCCTACAGGGAAATCCATACCATTGTGGAATCTGGGTACTGTTCTCCCATCTCTTGCAAAGAATCCATTTGAACAAGCAGAGAATTCTTCTCTTTGTCAGCTTACAATAAAAAAAGTTACTAGTTGCTGCAGCAGCAGCAGCTCAACAAGAGTTAGCAAAATCCAAGCTTTATTGATACAGCCAGGCCACATTCACTGGGATCCCAGCACAGTGTATGTCTAAACCAACAGATTTCTTACCAAGAATCAGCTAGCTGAGCTGATTCCCCCCCCCCAAGCTTGACATGATTTCCATTGGTGGAAGAGAATAAATGGCGGTGCCCTGTGCAAGCTCTTTCTACTTCAAATATAAAATTGTCTGCTGGAAGAACCTAGCCACTTTCAAATTTTCCCTGAAAGATGTCACACAAGCTGAGGGACTTACAGGCAGGCAACTTCCAGGAGGTTGGTCAATCAGCAGCCTGCAAAACCAGCAAAGCTCAAAATAGATAGGCAGCTCCTTGGTATGTCTACATAACTTGTCACTTCTGTAGGTTCAGTTTAGACCTTCTGTTAACTCGGCAAGTCCCTAATCTCCTTCATTATTATGTTGCGGTGCTGCCCTGTAAATGCAGGGAAGCAGATGACTTGTTTTCTAAATTGGAATCCGAAGGATATTTTCATTCCAGAAAGGAAACACTCACCACTGTTTATCATCCCTTCCAGTTGAATTATTAAAAGAAGAAAAAAAAATAGGATCTGCCTGTGCTACACAGCCCTTTGTTTGGGATATGCAGGAGGTGCAGATGGTGTGCCGTAGGTGACTCTTTCAACGAGTTTTGTGCATTTATGTGTGGACATATATGCATAGGGTATCTTTTGCTAGAATGGAAAATTCCTTCAAATTTTGGAAAAGTAGGACTGACAAAGTTTCAGTCTCAGGCATACAGATATATAGCCTGCTAAGATTTCTATAATAAGGGGCAAAAGCGACGGAAAAACTTGTCATTCATTCTTGCGCGTGTTGCCCTTGTCTAATGAGCATTCCATGCACCCAAAATGCTGAATATCAAAACTGACCAGTGTGGTTTGAATTTGGGAAATATGATTTCAATAAAAAATCTAATTTGTTTACTTTAAACATTAAAAGAAAAGAAACCCTGGCTTGGTTTGGTTTAGACTGGTCAGGTTTAAAAGCTACATTCTACTATTTTTGGTTGGGTTCATCAGCTGTAACACTAAAATCAGATATAATTTTCAACTTTTTGTGTGTGTGTAACACCTGTTTTGTGTTTGTCTATTATATTTATCTTGTAGTTTGTCCCTACCTGTAGGTAAGGGGACAACAGTTTTAGGCTTCACTTATAAGAAGCTTTAATGTTGCCAGCTCTTTAATTATTAAATTACGTTTTGATAATCTTACAATACATACAATTCCTGTATTTTAGTTGAGTGAGATCATCAGATTATGCTAAAACCCACTGTGAAGAAATTCAGCTGTTGTTTACCCAGTTATTTTTATTTGGTCATTAATCATTTATAGATCCCTGTCTTGCATCTGTCACCTTTACATCCCTCACCTGTTGTTCCCTCATCCCCGATTCGGCATGGGCACAGGCGTCAGCTTTTATTTTCTGATGTTGTGGATGACTTTACACAGTTGTCTAAACAGTACATTCGGAATAATATGGCAACATCCAGTGATTTGTGCCATACATTTGACGAGGTAAGAGAATTTAGTAGTTTTCTATATTTATATTTTCTGTTTCTTGCCACAGCTTCAACTATTTATTGTTTTTCCAGATACCGCATCTGTTTTGGGCAAGCAGATATCAGTTATACGGGCTGGTAGGCCCCAGAACATACATCAAACAAACAAAGAACTCCCAGGTCTGATGTACATGTACATCTGTTGTCATTTGGCTTACAGGCCAACCATTAACGAAAGGGCTCCCAGGCCCAAGGAATAATCATGAAGTAATAACATGATCCATCCAACCTTTTGGGGCCAGCGCTGGATGTGCTGTGGAATATACAGCACCCCACCCCCTTGGGTACATAAGAGGGTGTGGCTGACCCTTTACAAATTACAGTGTATTATGGCAAACATCAACATCAACATATACATGTCACATCTTGTATGTATTAGGAAGTGGCTATCTTCAAATCCTGTTAACCCCTTGACAACAGGAATTTCTTCCCAAAAGCCGACTCCAAGAATTCCAGCCTCGCTTGGCCACGAAGGCAACCTGCCAAACCCCATATTCTCAGTTTGTGGCCCTGCGTGCTCTGCACTCTTTGAATTACACAGTGAAAAGGCTGATTGTGCGGTGGCATGCGACTCTACCCACCCTTCCACATTCCTGTTGCCTCTTTTCAAAGTGGGGACTATTGTGAAGCTGGTGATTATGATGCAAAATTTGTCCTTTCATTTCTGGGCTATGCACAAAGACCAATTACCGTATATACAAGAGTCAGGATCTGCCTTCTTTCACCGTGTTCACTCAAACGTGGGCCGAGAATAATAGCTGAAAAGCGGGCTGAGGACCTCAATTTTTACGGCGGCTATAACCGCTCCCCAGTGCGAAGGGGTTAAAAACGGCACAGTACAAGTTAACATAAAATTAAAAATAAAGTAAAAAATAATACATTTAAGAAATGAAAGGATAAGGATAAATGAATGAATGTCACCGAGCTAGTACCCAAACTGCAATATGGGGGATACATCTGCCCCACCAACAGGGAGAACCTAACTCTGCTGGCATCGGTGATGTCTCGATTTTTCCTGGCAACAGACGCCTCTAACCTTACCTATAATAAAATAAAGATAAGTATACCAGACACGGTGACACTAAAATAATGAATCACAGCTAAACATAAGTTAAAATCAAAAATACTAATGACCCTACAAGATAAAATTATTAAAATCACAAATCTTGCAGTGCAATATATCTCTGTACAAATGCAACATTAAAAAGGTAAGTTTTCACTTTACATTTGAAAACGGCAAGGCTTTGCTCGCACCGTATATTCCATGGCAAGGCATTCCATAATTTAGGAGCAGCCATTGCAAATGCCCTGTCACCAAGTGTGGGTAGCATTTTACCGTTAGGGTAACTTAATAAAGGACCGTTGCTTGCTGACCCGAGATGATATCTAGACTCCTTAATGATGACAAGATTCATTACGTATCTAGGAGCAACACCACGGATGGCTTTGTATGTTAACAGGATGATTTTGAAGTTGATCCTGTACAAAACAGGTAACCAGTGCAGTTGATACAATATTGGTGTTATGTGTTGAAACTTGGGTGTATTGGTAAGAAGTCTAGCTGCAGCATTCTGGACTCGCTGTAATCTCATTATCTGTGCTGCTGATAAACTATACAAAAGACTATTACAATAGTCCAGACAGCTGGTCACAAATGCGTTGAAGAGTTGATAATTCGGATAATAACTGGAAGCAAGACATCAAGGCAATCGCTCACCAGCTTAGTAGGCATTGGATCCAGATCATGTGATTTCTTTGTGGACTTCACAAGTTCTTCAACCTGTGACCTACTTAGTGGTTGAAATTGGTCAAACAAAATGCCACACAACAAAGGCGATTCAGGTACTGGATTGGAAATTTGGCTTTCTGCGGCTTAAGTTAAATTATCAAGCCTAACATGGATATTAGATATTTTCTTCTCAAAAGTGCTGGGGTGGTGGTGACCCAATTAACCTACCTTGCCCAACAAGCTGTGACAGACTGATCCTCACATGAGAATTTGCCTCCTAAAACTAGCATCGCCTGGCAGAAGTAATCTGACCCATTGCCTGATTGGTTAAAACAATGGGCTGTGAGTGGTCAGAATAATGGGCAGTGATTGGCTACCAGTTGATGCTCAAGTAACTCTGATTGGCTCACTTTATGAATAATTAGTGCCAGAATCCTCTTTAAAATCCACCTTTTGTGAAACCCTCAATTTACAAACAATCATAACTGCAAGAAAAGGGGGGGGCAATTGAATGCAAACTGGTACAGATTTGTGGAGAGTTTTCTAGGTATTTGTCAGCAGACTCTGTCTACATTGCTGTGGGGAAGGATTCTACATGAAAGTTAACCAAAGAAAGTCCAGTGGAGACATGGCTTTAGTCAAACTATGGGATGGAAAGTTACAGCATATTGTAAAATGTTCAAAACAGGATCATTCCACATGTGGTAATTTAATTGGCTCAGGTCAAGTGAGTTCCATGAAAAGGCTAGAACTGTGTGTGTGGATGTCCATGATTTTCAATAATTTGAATTCATTTTGCAAATTTGCATGACCTTTTGGGTTAAGTTTGAGCTCCTTGAAGAACCTGATATTGTTACTACAGATTGTTAATTCCAATCTACAACCTGTGACAATTGTGATAGGTGTGAACTTGCTAGGATGTCCCTTTGGTGAGGACAAACTGCCTGTGTGCACTGAGCAACTGCACTGAGCATATGTGACCAATTTCTGTTGAAATCATAGACACCTAAACAAAGCATAGTTTTCAGTGTGTAGACTGGGCACCCAATTGAAACAGTCCCTACCAGCCTCTCTCTCCTTGCGGCTGATGAGTCTGGGGGTACTTTTACATAGGGCACACAGAGTGGGTAAAAAAGTAAAGAGCAAATTCCCCAAATCTTGATATTGTGACATATGGCAGATCAGCTCTCCTTAATCTGGCTGGTTCGACAGAATGCTGACTTAATGGTGTAGTATCCTGCAGTGGCATGTAGGCCACAGACCCAAATGACTTCTTTGTTGGGTGATAAAACCACAGACTGGTGGAAGTGGCCAGAATCGGAGTAAGAAGGGTATGGAATAAGGTGGATGTCTCAGTCTCTATGCAGTTAGGCCCCAAGTCAAAATAGAAACGGTTCACCAAGCGGGAAATGGTTACCCTTAATCCCCTTTCAAACCATTGCCCAGTTCAACTGCAAGTGGGCAATGATTGCAAGAGAGCGTTTCCCGAAAAGGAGTTGGCTATGCAGCAACCTCTTTGATGCATACCACCATTTCCCCCACCTTGGTACAAAAGCCCTGACTCCCAGCTTGCCATGAATGGTTATTGTGCATCATCTTTGTTGTGTAAATTGAGCCAGTTCCTCCACAGGCTTAGCACATCTTATTTAGACAGACGAAACAACTAATCTCTTTGAACAAAAGACTAAGTCCATTGGAGTCTGCAGGCTTACGTGCATCAGTTCTCGTGTCATTGAATTAAGATCTGTTGTTTTCTTTCCCCAAATCTAGCACTGTCAGGCAGTGATTTCCACATTATAGGTTGGTTAAAGATTGGAATAGACAATAGACAAAATGGAGAAGAAAACTGTCTTACATCACTGAAGGTATTTTCATCAGCCAACAGCATCAACTGTTTCTTATCTTTATTTACACATACACTTTAAATTTTTACCATCGGCACAATTACCTTCTTGATCAAATTGCTAAATTTGCATGACATTGTTTTTTGCTTTTTACCCGTTTTCCCAATTTTTGTTTTACTTAAAATCCATTTCTTGTTTGAAGATTGGTTTTAAGTTACCCGTTGACTTGGACTTGAAACATTTTCATTGAAACTAGTTTTCTAGTTTAGTTTAGAATAACGTTTTTTTCCACTCCTTTCTATTACAACTGGTGAATTAATTTTCATCCAAATGCCTCTAAATGTATGGAGGTTTTTCATAATAAAACTAAGGATAAAAGCAATACTTTTAAAACTTAATTAAACCCTTCATCTTACTTGATTAAAATCTTCTACGGAAGCTATGAATAAAGTGAGAGTAATGAAATAAAGATACGTAAAAGTATGACTGTCTAATGTGGAAATTATATACTGGGACCTTTTGATAAGCCACAAGGATAAAGAGACTTGAATTACAATGTAGTTTTGCACCATCCTATTCAGTAGTTTGGAATGAATTCAAATAAAGTGAATAAACTTTAGATTGACGATTACATGTACATGTATACATCTTGTCCTAGAGTTTGAACAATGTTATTTTTACTACAAAACAAACACTATTAAAGCCAACCGGAATTCACGTTTGAACATGAAAGCATGAGTTATCTTTTAAAGTAATATGGACAGATGTTTGGAGTAAATGGCAGGTTTATAAATACACTTGGCAAACTATGTTCTTTGAATAATCACTTCGTATCTAGCCCTCTTGCAACATTCATTGAGTGCCTCAACCGTTTTACATCCACTGTCCGTGTACCAGTCAGTGAATCCTGGAAACTGCAACTTTGCTTGACTGAAAATACTATGTACGATGCTACGGTTTATTTGAGGGATCTTTCATCTTTTATTATTTTCGTCTCTGGAATTTCCAGTCAAATTTTGGGCGGCCAGCTCTTTCTTTGGGATCTCTCGTTTTAGTAGGTTGATGCACATTAGCCTTCCTCTGTCATCGTCCGAACATTGTTTGCGTTGCTGCACCTCTTTCAGGATGACCTTGTAGTCGTCAACCGCGCGAACCATACCCTCATTCCCGCCAAGTAGATAGGTGTCATTTTCCGGACCGGTCACAGTGCGAGGCATCAACGTTGCTGGCGATGAGACGGATTTCTCCGACTCATTGGGATCCCGGCTGTCATCTTGAGGTGTCTCGGTTGCAGCCATGGAACGTATGGGTACCGGTGTGGGAGATGCCTCTGCAGTGGATACGGCCGGCGAGTCGAACAACACACGTGGGTGATTTTCAGAC